CTGCAGGACTGGGCAGGACACAGAAACTTCCAGCTAATAGTTAATGCTTATAACAGCTGAAACAGCTGTCCATTTCTAGAAAGCCATCTTTTACTGCCATGGTTGACCAGCAAGCCCAGCACACTTGAACTAGGGAGGCTGTGGCTGCCACTGTCCTCCTCATTATTCTTTCAGAAGCCAAAGCCAGGTGTAGTGGTATTTGCTCTGCCCATGACCTTGGGTTATAGGGCCCGAAGGAGGTAGTGCCTTTGTTAGTGACTCTTAAAAGGAGCAGGGAGAAGGGTGGGCCCTATAGCCCAAGGTCATGGGCAGAACAAACACCACTACAGCCAGGGATATAGTGCAGCTGAAAGAAGGTGGAGGCTGGGTTGGAATGGGTTTACTGCACACTGCCTGTCTTTCAGAAGCTCTTTCTTCTATTACAGCACTTGAGGGTTTAGTATGGAAGACACTAGTTTTTTCAAATATTTCTTTTCTTTCTTTTTTGAGACAGAGTTTCTCTGTAGTTTTGGAGCCTGTCCTAGAACTCACTCTGTAGACCAGGCTGGCCTCAAACTCACAGAGATCCACCAGCCTCTCTTGAGTGCTGGGACTAAACATGTGTGGCACCACTGCCCGCTCAAATATTTCTAAAAGCAACTACAGAGTAATAGAGCATAAATGTCTAAAACAACCAGGTGTGCCCAGCTTGCTCCCTGCGGGCCAAATGTATTCTGGGATGGCTATAGATTCAGACCAACAATACACAATCATAAGCTTATTTGAAATATGGGAGGTTTTTTTTTTTTTTTGCACATTTTTAAACTCAATTTGGGCAGTTCTCAAGAATGAGCTTTGTAGTTGTCAATGTCTGTCGTGATGTCAAAGTTTGTACATGCCAAAATGGAATCTATAGGGCAGATTTTATTTTTAGAAGATGTTAAACGTATGCTGTTGATAAATATTGTGAAACTGGTCTTCTGTGTTCACTAGGCTTTACACACACACACACACACACACACACACACACACACACACTATATTAACTACATGAATTATATATGAGGTGTGTGTGTGTGTGTATTTGAGTATGTGTGTGTACGTGTGTGTACCTATGCTTGTATGAGCTCAGAGGACAGAGGAGTATGTTGTGTGTCTTGCTCAATCACTCTTTCCCTTATTCTGATAACTGTACATGTTAAATAGTTAATATAGTTAATTATATATTGGGAATTATGGGGGTCCAGCCCCTCGATAGTCCCCTCCCAGGGTCCGGGAAGAATCTACAATGAGCTGATAATTAATCTTTGAAGAAAAGAAATGAATCTATGTACACAAAACTCCTTAGTTCATACACTTTATTATTCTGTGATAGTTCTCTCTCTACACAGCTTCTATTCTGCTCTCATGTCTAGCCCCTTTCTTGCTTAATTTCTCTCTATATTTATTTACTGTCCCATCTAGGTTCTATCTTAATTCCTTCATCTAGTTCTGTCCCTTCTAGGTTCTCATCCATCTAGCTCTTTCCCCTATCAGCTCCTCTCCCATTTCCTTCTCGCTCATCTGGGTCTTCCTCATCTTGTTTTTCCCCATTTGGCTCTTCCTCATCTTCCATCTTGTTCCTCTAGTCCTCTCTTCTAGTCCTTCAATCTAGTTCTTCCCCATCTCAATTTGCTCCTCTCAAGTTCTTACCCATCTAGTTCTTCCATTCTCTTTTCTCTTCTCCGTCCTGTACCCTGGAAGTCCCGGTATATAAAGGGAGGGTCTGAGCTAAATTGTATAAAGCTATTTCTTAACATCCACCTGACCTAGGCGGTGTCTCCTTGTGGAATTTAAGTCAGGAGACTTGCATGTGGGCTGTTATCATTGTTAGTCCTCAGAAGTTGGGCGCCCACCTGGGTGGTGTTTCCTGTAGTCCTTGAAAGTGGCTAAGGGAGATAACTGATTCCAGAGAAAGCCTTTCCCGAGGCTGTTCTCCAAATACCTGGAATGTGTATGTCCAGAGAGTGCTCAGTCTACACTGTTAGCCCTTCTTAGGGAAAAGTCAACTGGGAAAACTATGAAGGCACACATGATTTTCATAACAGAATACAGCTGATACATAACAAGCCAAGTAACACCAAAAACTCCTTGGGATTTGGCTTCCTCTGGAGGAATTCCCTGATTCCTCCAGGTAGTGACTTGGCCGTAACCAGCTGAGTTCTTATGATATATTCCTGTGGCCTGCAGCGATTATATTTGGAGACAGGCTCTTGCTAAGTTGTCAAAGCTGACCTTGAACTTGTGGTACTTGTGCCTCATCCTCCCAAACAGATGGACTTCCAGGTCTGCACCACCAGGCCTGGCTAGGACTGTGGCACACACCTTAAAATCCAACACTAGTTAACCGTAAAGGTTTGGAGGTCTGTACAGACAGACAGGAAGTGACAGAGCTGGCCAGGAAGAGGAAGTGATGTAGCTGGACAGAGAGAGCAAATGAGATAGCAGAACAGAAAGGCATACAGGCGTGGGTATACCGGAAGTAAGGGGTCTCTTTGGAAGCTGAGGTGTTGGTGAGGTGAGGTTGGCTTGTGGCTTTTCCTATTCCTCTGATCTCTCAGGTTCTAACCCTGATATTTCGCTCCAGGTTTTTTATTTAATAAGACCATTTAACAATTCGTCTATAAATCACCACTGGCTTCTGCAGAAATTGCCTCATGCTCTCACATGCCTTTTATATTTTGAATAAATCCTTGGTCTGTCGGGGCTCGGTGACCACTGAGGAACTGCCTCTGACTAACGCTGCTCATTCTGTTTCAGGAGCTGCCTGATTCGCTGAGAGAGCAGACACATCTCAAAGAATGGCACATTCACAGCACCCTAATTCAGACCATTCCTGCATACATCGAGCTGTTTCAAGCGATGAGAATTCTGGATTTGCCGAAAAACCAAATCACGAGTCTTCCAGCTGAAATTGGTAGGTTCCTGGCAGGACTCTTCAGCCCCTGTGTGGTGAACAGGCAGGTGCAGGGCAGGTGGCACAGTGCGAACACCCCATGTCCTCCTCCTCCTGCCCCTGGATGTCCTCGGCTACTTCCCCGTTCCCAGAGCCACGGTTCAGTGTCCCCTTTGGGACAGGAAATCTGCCTGCAAGACTTAGCATTGATAGAAATTTCACAGTTGCTCAGAAAACCTGAAGTCATGTGAATGGGCAACACTTTAAGAATTTTCTGAGCCAGGAAGCGGTGGCACATACTTTTAATCCCAGCACTCAGGAGGCAGAGGAAGGCGGATCTCTGTGATTTCAAGGCCAGCCTGGTCTACAAAGGGAGTTCCAGGACAGCTAGAGCTATTACACAGAGAAACCCTGTATCAAAAAACAAAAAAACAAAAACAAAAAAAATTTTTTTTTTGTTGTCGTTGCTGGGTGTGGTGGTGCACTTCTTTAACCCCAGCACTTGAGCTACAGAGGAGTAAAGACACGTTAATAACAAGATTGTTGTCAGGTTAGAATAAAATATATTGAGAAGTTTAGCTTAGCTTCTGTTGTTTGGATTGACCAACATTTAATAATTCTTGGTCATTTCATTGTCTGGTTGCATCATCTGAAAATGAAGATGACAATGATTACCGATGTCTTTCTTTCTCTTGGGGTCTGAGGAACTAGCACGCATGTGTCCAACTTGTGGCCTCTGGGCTACACCAGGCCCAGGGAAGCTATGAATGTGGCCCAACACAGAATCAGAAACTTACTTAAAACACTATGAGATTTCGTTGCTTAACTTCAGTGCTTGAATCTTGAACTTTGCAGATGACAATGCTGTGTCACAATGTCAAAAGTCTGACCATGCCTGGTACAGGCTGAATAGGGTGCCACTCTCACATGTCCTGGGACACTGGAGGGGAACAGTTTGTCAGAGGCCTTGTCTGGCCTGTTACTTTGTTACACCTAGTGTGGCAAGACTGCAAGGTACTCTGGTAAGATGGGTCAACAGGTAAAGGTGCTTGCCCCCAAGACTGGCAGCTGACTTCAGTCTGCAGTACCTGCTATGATATACTGCACAGTGGACCCTGAGAGTATCCTGCCTGTGCAGGGAAACATGCCGGCATGCTGGGCAGATGCAGTGGTGGCCTGGCAGGTGACCCATGCCATGTGGGCATGGTGGCGGGACAGAGGTAGACAGTCATTTACCATCCAGACGCTGCATCTGCACAGAAATGGTTTATTATAATAGAGAGATGAAGAGAAAGATAGTAAAGAGGAAGAGAAGAGAGAGAAAAAGAGGGAGAGCGAGAAAGAGAGAGGAAGGGGAGGTCAAGGGTGCATACCTCATGGGAGGAAAGGCAGAAGAGAGAGAGCAAGGGGAGGGGTTTATCCTTAAAATGAGCCTTTTACGTCAGGATGCAGGGTGGCTCCAAGGGGCAGGTCAGAATATTAACACTGGTTTCCAAGGATTGAGTCAGAAAGTCAGAATATTAACATTCCTCCGTTTGGATTATTATAAAAAGGTGAGTTATTGATAGTAAGTTGGGGAACAAGGGCGCTGAATTCCTGAGACTGCTTCAAGCTGACAAGGGGTGAAGTGGGGAGGGAGAAGCCGGGAGTCACACAGGGCAGGAGGGGTGAGTGAAGAAACACAGTTGGCTGGCATCGTGGAAGTCTCAGGCGTCTGTTCCTTGAGGTCGCTAGGAGAAAAAATTATTATCATTGGCCTTACGAGCGGGGCTAGCTATGGGAAGAGTGATAACTGCCAGAGAGAACGGAACAGAGGAGCGCCCTGGTTGTACAGAAGAGGCAAGGGTGAGTGAGTGAGACATTAGAGCGAATGGATATGCCCTTTACTGGGACATCTTGGAAAGCCAGGTTCCGGTTCCTGGGCAGGTGCCCGCCTGAGCCTGGAGAGGGGGTACCAGCAGTGAATTGAGGGATGATGTGTTCTTTAGCAGTACAGGAGCCATCACATCTGCCATTTCTCTGGAGGTGGGTGCATCCATCCCAGTTGGCATCCTCGGAGTTGGTGCCAGCTGGTGCAGGGGCTGTCATATCGGGGGAGCCCCTTGGCCCAGGCAGGAGGAAGGAAACTGCAAAAGGGTTAAAAATCCATTTAAGGACTCTTAAGAACTCTTTGTAGTCCATGTTGTATCAGTTTATCAGGGCTGCATTTATTAGTATTAAAACTTTGAACCTCTGGAGTTATATCTGAAACCAGTCTATCCTATACCATGAAGTCTGTGAATGAGGCATGCCTGTCTGTAATTGGAGAGCGTATATATATGCTCTATCAAATCTTGGGATTGGGCCTGTTAAACTGATACACCCTTGTCATCACACATTATCAGGTCTGAGAAGGATAAATTTAAGAAGCGAGACAGCTTTCCAGCTACCTAGGCAGCAATCCCAAGTCTCTCCATGGTGTTGGGGGACAGAAGCCCCAAGGGCAGCACTTGTTCAGCTGATAGGCCCAGGAGATCTGACAGATTTTTTCTGTGGAGTAGAAATTTGGGGAGGTCATCCTACCTGTCTTGGCAGAGAGGACAACCGATCCCTGTTGCTCCTCTTATTCACAGTCTGGACAGGATTTCAGCTTTTCTCTGTGTGGCCAACCTTGCCATGAGTTTCCGGGTAGAAGTTCTTCTGTGGCCATCCGTCTTCTTGGAGGAGATAGAGGATGCTGCCCAGAGCTGACATGTCTCTGTCATCAAAGGCTTTTATGTTAAATGCCGTATTCTCAGATCTCTACAGGTGTTTGAGGACCGGGGAACAAAATCTGTTAGGTGTATAACCTAGATGCTGCATCCATGTGGAAATGGTTTATTATAATATAGAGACAGGAGACAGAAAGATAGGAAGGAGAGAGAGGAAAAGAAGAGAAGAGAGGGAAAGCAGAGGTGTGCGGACCTCATGGTGGGGAAGAAAAAGAGTGGAAGAGAGAGAGAGCAAGGGGAGGGTTTTTCCTTAAAATGAGGCTTTTACGTCAGGACACAGGGCAGCGCCAAGGGACGGGTCAGAATATTAACACTGGTTTCCAAGGGGCAGGTCAGAGTATTAACAGTACCCACTAGGTGGAAGGAGAGAACTGACTTCTGCAAGTTGTCCTCTGGCTTCCACATACCTGCTGATCCTCCTGCCTCAGCCTCCTAAGTACTGAGATTGCAGGCATACACCGCCACACCTGAGTTAGGCGCTGGTGTTTAAAAACTCCCTACAAAGCCCGGAAGTGGTGGCGCACGCCTTTAAACCCTGCATTCGGGAGGCAGAGGCAGTCAGATCTCTGTGAGTTCGAGGCCAGCCTAGGCTACAGAGTGAGCTCCAGGACAGCCAGGGCCACACAGAGAAACCTTGTCTCACAAAACCAAACAAACACCCAATTCTCTACCAGACTCCCATGTGTAGGCAGCACTGATGGGCTCGGACAAAGGAGTGCAGGAGGAGAAGAGAGCCCAGTCCAGGGCAACTTGGGAGGCCCCTGTGTGAGTTGGGGCAATCACTCAGACAGCCCGTTTTCCTATTTCCTTGTCTGTAGCATGGAGATCATCGTGTCCTTGATTCACTTGGTTGTTGTAAGGCTGGTAGAGTGTATTGACTGTCTCACTTAGAAAGTGGCAGATGTGAGGATTGAGTGACTTCTGCAGAAGTAAACTGTCAGTTTTGGTTTACTAATTTAAAATTAGCTTAAGAATGGTAAAGTATCCGATTCCTTAGGATGTGTATGATGGGATTTTTCGAGTATTATTATGTATTTATTATTGTACTAGTTTTTAGGTTGCAGCTGGTTGTATATATTGCCAAGCAAGAATCAGAACTAAGGGACTGGAAGATGACTCAGCAGCTAATGCTCACTGCTCTTGCAGGGGCTCCAGGTTCAATTCCCAGCACCCACATGGAAGCTCACAACTGCCTGTAACTCCAGTTCCAGCGGGGATATCTGGTGTGTTCTGACTACAGAACTTACCCGCATGCATGTGGTACACACACACACACACACACACACACACACACACACACACACACACAGATATATACACAAGTAAAATAAATATTAAAAAAGAATCAGACAGGGCTGGAGAGATGGCTCAGAGGTTAAGAGCACTGGCTGCTCTTCCAGAGGTCCTGGGTTCAATTCTCAGCACCCACATGGTGACTCACAACCATCTGTAACAGGATCTGATGCCCTCTTCTAGCATAAAGGCATATGTTTAGAACAAGCACTCGTGTACATAAAATAAATAAATACATCTTTAAAAAAAAAGAATCAGAGCTAGAATACAGTATTTTTCAGTCATTTCGATAATTTCCCGTTCTCCTGGATGTGTTCCCATCCTACTTGAGAAAGTCACTTCTATACCCTTTGAGAAGCATGACATATCAAGTTGGAAGAATGCAGATATAAAAGATGAATGGTGTATTACACGTGGTCTGCAAACAGTTCCCCTCAGTCGTTTATCATGCATGTAGAACGTTGTGCATCTCTCTGTATCTAGCTCATGCCCTGGTAGAAGCCTCCAGCAAGCACCAGCAGGTAGTTTCTGCTGTCCTTGGAGCTGCTCCAACCTTCACAGTCAGGGCCTGTGATTCAAATCCTTCCGGGGTTTGCGCACTGTGGATGCCTGGACACAGAAGACAATCCCCTGTACAGACTCTGTGGTGACTGGGTCCGAAATATTCCCACAGCCTCTTTTATTGCCTGTTGGTGGTGCTGTTTGGGAGATGTGGAACCATTAGGAAGTGGAGCCTTGCCGGGGGGAAGTATGTCAGTGGGGGTGGGCTTTGAGGGTTTGTAGCCTGCTCTACTTTCTCTGCTTCCTGCAGTGGATGGACATGGACATGCGGTTAGTCAACTTCCTGCTTCTGCTCCTGTGCCATGCCTTTTCTGCCATTATGGACTCTCCTTTTGGAACCATAAACCAAGATCATTTTTTTCCTTTTTCAATTTTTAAACATTTTATTTTTGTATATTGGTGTTTTCCCTGTGTATGTAACGGTGCACCATGTGCATGAAGAGGCCAGAAGAGGGTGTTGGATCCCCTGGAAATAGAGTTACAGTTTGTTATTAGCTGCCCTGTGCATGCTGGGAGTTGAACCTAGGTCCTCTGGAAGAGCAGTCAGTGCTTTTCATTACTGAGCAGTCTTTGCAGCCCTGAACTATTCTCTCTCTCTCTCTCTCTCTCTCTCTCTCTCTCTCTCTCTCTCTCTCTCTCTAAGATTTGTTTATTGCTGGGTGGCCGTGGTGCACACCTTTAATTCCAGCACTTGGGAGGCAGAGCCAGGCAGATTTCTGTGAGTTCGAGGCCAACCTGGGCTACAGAGTGAGTTCCAGGACAGGCACCAAAAACTACGCACAGAAACCCTGTCTCAAAAAACAAACAAACAAACAAACAAAAAACATAAAAAGATTTATTTATTATGTATACAGTGTTCTGTCTGCATGTGTCTCTGCAGGCCAGAAGAAGGCACCAGATCTCATTACAGGTGGTTGTGAGCCACCATGTGGGTGCTGGGAATTGAACCCAGGTCCTCTGGAAGAGCAGTCAGTGCTCATAATCACTGAGCAGTCCCTGCAGCCCTGAACTATCTTCTCTAAGTTGCTTTCGGTCATGTTTTTTATTAGAGCAACAGAAAAGCAGGCAATACACATGCTAACTACAGTGTCACGAGGGAGAAAACAACTGGAGAATCGAAACCAACCAACAAAAGCCACGAAACAGCAGCAGCACCAAGAGTGAGATGCTCTAACTGAAGACTGACATGCACACAGTGAACAGACATTTAATAGAGAATGCTCAAAATACAAGCACAAAATTATGTCTTATGTCTTCACAGCCCCCCTTTTCTCCCTTTGAATTGCTTTTTGAGACAGGGCCCTTGATGTAGAACTGTGTGACCTTTCTGCTTGTGTGTTTCAAGTGCTGGAATGCAGGCACTCACTGCCATCTCTGGGGTCCCTGTCATTAGGTGAACAGTTCATCCCTGAGATTTGTTTCTGTTCTGTTTGTTTTGTTTTGTTTTTGAGAGAGTCTCACTGTGTAGACCTGGCTAGCCTGGAACTCACAGAGATCTGTAGGCAGAAGTTTCTCCCCCACCTGCTTGTTCCCAAATACCCAGCAGCTGCTTCCCAAATAATTGACTTGGAGGCTTAATATTACCTATAGATGTTCAGCTGGTAGCTCAGGCTTATTATTAACCAGCTCTTATACTTGAATTAACCCATAATTCTTATCTATGTTTAGTCACATGGCTTGGTACCTTATCTCAGTAAAGCATTCTTATCTTGCTCCCTCTGCATCTGACTCCTGACTCCGCCCTTTCTCTTCCCAGAATTCTCCCAGTCTGGTTGCCCCACCTATACTTCCTGCCTGGCTACTGGCCAATCAGCATTTTATTAAGCCAGTTGGAGTGACAAATCTTTACAGTGTACAAGAGCATTATCCCACAGCAGAGATCTGCCTTTCTCTGCCTTCTGAGCACTGAAATTAAAGGCCTGTGCAACATACCTAGCTTGTTTCTGTTCTTAAAAGGCTTTGAAGGACCTATCCAATGGAAGTTGACTTTTTGTGTTGCCAGGTCGCTTAAAGAACCTGAAAGAACTCAATGTGAGTTTCAACCATCTGAAGAGTATTCCCCCTGAGCTGGGAGACTGTGAGAATCTGGAGAAACTAGACTGCTCTGGGAACCTGGACCTGATGGAGCTCCCCTTTGAAGTAAGACACACATCTCTGCTCTGTGACTTACTTTTTTAAACTTATGACATGGATTGTTTTAGACCTCAAGAAAAATTTACTAAAACCTCTAGGTTGTTTCTTTTTTCTCTTTTTAATTGCTAGGTTGTTCTCAGGCTTTACATGAAAATATAAGAGTTGCCAAACAAGTTTGAAATAGGACAAAACTAGGAAACTTAGATTATGCAATTTCAAAACTTACTGTAAAATTATAGCATTTATTTACATAAAGACAGACATACGGAAAAACAGGACAGAATTGAGATTTCAGAGATAAATCTCCATAATATATGCATATATTTACATTATATATTATAATTTTATTGTGAGATCGTATTGCTATGTAGTCCTAGCTGGCCTGAAACTTGCTCTGTACTGGGTTGGCCCTGAACTCACACAGATCTGCTGTCTCTGCCTCATGAGTGCTGGGATTAAAGGTGTGTAACACCATGCCCAGTGATATTGTATTTACAATCAACTGATTTTTCAACAAAATCACCATGGAAATTCAATAGAAAAAGGACAATCAATTCAGTAGAATGTTTTGGGAAAATTAAAATCCTTGTCTAACTCCATACATATTATGACATAAATGAAGAATTTGAAAAACACCCTAGATGAAAGAAACCAGATTTAAAAGAGTGTTACATGAAATTTCCAGGAAGAAAAATGTGTAGAGAGACAAAGTAGATTTGAGTTATGGTTCACTGTACATCCATGATGGGGATGTTTTGTGGCATGCAAACTCTACCTTGTTGAAATTTGGGGTATTAAAAGGATTTGCCCAAGTGCAAATGACTGACAGCACCTTGGACTGGGGTGTGAAGGGGTGATGAGCAGACAAAGATGACCTAGCTTACCTCCACTCTGAACACCTGAGTGAAGCTGGACTTTCTGGACTGGGGGGATTGGAGCATGTACAGATCTGAGTAGTGGAGAGTGGGTCCTGACTGAGCCCCATGGCCAAGCACATTCAAGGTGAGATGAGTGTTATCATCCACTATTACCAGACACTGCCTCTCATTTCCTGTGGAACAATCCTTTTCTATAATATAAATATGTATTACTCTCATTTGCTAATAAAAAACTGATTGGCCAATAGCTGGTTTTTTATTTTTATTTATTTTTTTACTTATACATACATTCATGGATGCTTTGAAGAAGAAATATTATTCTAAATGCTATAAATTGAACTTAATTCCCATTTCACAAGGCGTATTAGTTGCCTGTCTTGATGCCAGTATACAGCTGCTGACAAGAGCAGCTACTGGAGTGAGGAATTCACGTGGCTCACACTCCCAGGGGACCGTCCATCACGGCAGGGAAGTCATGGCCGCAGGAGCTTGAGGTAGCCATTCACACTGCGTAGTAAGAAGCCAAGAGTGATGCACGCTGGTGCTGAGCTTGCTTTTCCCTTTTGCGCAGCCTAGGACCCCAGCCTGGGAAATGGTGCCACCCACAGTTAAGGTGGGTCTTCCAAACTGACTGAATCTACACAGTCCCTCCCAGACTTGCCCAGAGACTTGTTTCCATGGTGATTCTCAATCCTGTCAAATTAACGATCAAGATTAGCCGTCACAGAGGATAACTAGAATATTCTCTTATTCCTTTCTAGTTGAGTAACTTGAAGCAAGTGACGTTTGTTGATATCTCAGCAAACAAGTTCTCCAGTGTCCCGATCTGTGTCCTGCGGATGTGCCGTCTACAGTGGTTGGATATCAGCAGCAATAATCTGAGTGACCTGCCACAAGACATAGACAGGTAGCTACTTGCATCCTAAGGTGAGGTATATGAGCTAATTGCTAACACATTAAGACTGCTAACACTTTAGATGTGCTGCACATAAATATTCTTTGAAACCAACTAATTTTCCGGAGTTTGGCTCTAGGAAATGATAGAATAAGACAATTTCTGTTGTGTATAACACATACATGTATGTATGCATTTGAACACGTCTGCTTTGGTTTTTTATTTATTTATCTATTTATTTTTTACGTAATGACAGATTCTTTGTAGCCCTGGTTGTCCTTGAACCTACTATATAGACCAGGTTGACCTTGAACTCACAGATCTGCCTGCCTTTGTCTTCAAGTGCTGGGATTAAAAGTATCCAACACCACACCTGGATTTTTTTTTGTCAGGTTGGTGGCAGGCGCCCTTACCTGCTGAGCTACCTCACTGCATCTTCCTTTTCTCCCTTTCTTTGAGACAGAGTCTTGCAAAGTAGCCCAGGTTAGCCTTAAACTCATGTACATATGCCACCACAGACAGCTTAGAAGAGATTTTTACTTTATCTATCTATCTATCTATCTATCTATCTATCTATCTATCCATCCATCCATCCATCCATCCATCCATCCATCCATCCATCCATCTATCTATCTATTTATTTATTACTTTTGAGATAAGGCTTTGCTCTGTAGCCTGGAAAGGCCCAGAACCCACAATGCTCCTGACTCAGCTTCCTGAGTGCAAAGATCACTGATGTGAGCTCTTGACTAGGCTTCAGTCTTTCATGGAATAACATTGCGAGTTTTACTCCACAGGAATGGAAAAGAAAATTTATTATGTGTAGAGAAGCATCACTCTGCTTAGAACAGTACCAGGGAGGGGAATTTTTATTACTTTTCATTTATTAATTTAAGGTATATAATCTTTAAACAGAATTGACATGTTAGTTATGTTGCTAAATTGTATCCACGAAGCTATTTCATTTTTTTTTAAATATTTATTTTTTATTATGTTTACAGTGTTGTGCTTGCATATATTCCTGCAAGCCAGAAGAGGGCACTAGATCTCATTACAGATGGTTGTGAGCCACCATGTGGTTACTGGGAATTGAACTCATGAACTCAGGACCTCTGGAAGAACAGTCAGTGCTCTTAACCTCTGAGCCATCTCTCCAGCCCAGCTATTTCCTTTTTAAAAACAATTACTGCCAGGCAGTGGTCACACATACCTTTAATCCCAGCACTTGAGAGGTGGATCTCTGTGAGTTCCAGGCCAGCCTGGTCAACAAAGCAAGTTCCAGGACAGCTGGGACTGTTACATAGAGAAACCCTGTCTTCAAAAAAAAATGTTATATAAAAACAATTACTGGGCTGGAGAGATGGCTCAGAGGTTAAGAGCACTGGCTGCTCTTCTAGAGGTCCTGAGTTTGAATCCCAGCAACCACATGGTGGCTCACAATCATCTGTAATAAGATCTGGTGCCCTCTTGTGGTGGTCAGGGATACATGCAGACAGAACACTGTATACACAATAAATAAATAAATCTTAAAAAAACCAAACCAAAACAAAAAACTAATTACTATGTGTCGGGGAGATGGCTCAGTGGGGGAGTGTCTGCTGTGCCAGCGTGAGGACCTAAGCTGGACCCCTAATAATAATAGTCCTGTAATAGTTTGTGTGGCTGCTCCCAGCTGGAACCCTGGTGCATGGGTGAGCAAAGACTTGTGGGTCCCTGGAGTTTGTGGCGGCCAGTCTAGCCAATTGGTAATCACCAGGTTCAGTGAGGGATCCTGCCTCAAAAGACAAGGTGGAGGGGCTGGTGAGATGGCCCAGTGGTAAGACTGAGTACTGCTCTCAGAGGTCCAGAGTTCAGTTCCCAGAACCCACATCAGATGGCTCAAAACCATCTGTAACTCCAGTTCCTGGGGATCTGACTCGACAGGCACTCGCACTCATGTGTTCATACTCACACACAGATACACGTAAGTATACATAATTTAAAATTAAAAAAAAATTAAAAGATAAAGTGAAGGGTCTGGGGAGGTAGCTTCACTATTAGGAGCACTTAGTAGCCAGGTGTGGTGGCGCATACTTTTAGCCCCAGCCCTCAGGAGACAGGCAGGCAGATTTCTGTGAGTTCAAGACTAGTCTGATCTAGTCTGATTTAGAGTTCCAGGACAGCCAGGATTACATAAGAGACCTGGTTTCAAAACACGAACACAAAGCAGAAAAGAGCACGTAACTGCTCTTTCCGAGGCCCCGGTTCAGTTCCCAGCACCCACTCTGCAAAGTTCCCAACTGCCTGTAACTGCAGCTCCAGAGCATACAGCACTCCGACCTCTGCGGGCACCTGCACTCATGTACACACAATTAAAGAAATAATTCTTAGAAAATAAGGTGGAAGTGTTATTTATTTACCGGGGCGAGAAAACACAAGGTACAACGGAAGCCACTGTAAGAGTTTTTATTAGGGAAGGGAAGGGTGGAGGTAGATAGGCCTACCGAAAAGAACGGTGCAGGGGGTAGAGCCCGCTTTTATAGGTCACCTCACGCATGCGTATGTGGGCTTATGTAGCTACATCACGCATGCACATAGATTACGTGATCACTCTGCGTGCAGATTACATAGGACATAAGGCCCTGGAGTGACTAAGCATTTTGCCTGACTGCTGGCAGTGGGTCTTGTGACTCCAGAAGTGGCTAGGAATAATAACAGGAACCCTCAGTGATGACCTTTGACCTCCATATGCTTATGTGCACATGTGAATGTGTCCCTTCATGTGTGTGTGTGTGTGTGTGTGTGTGTGTGTGTGTGTGTACACAGAAATAAAAATAAAATTAATTTAAAATGTAACCAGTTCTTTAAAAAATAATTATTGCACTGAAACATGTAATGTGAGATAGATTGATTCAGTCATTCATGCCACTGATATTATTAGGCTTCTATGCTGGGCCTGGAGAGTGTGCTGGGCTTAATGAACGACAAATAACCTGTGTACTCTTGGAGTCTACACCTCCCCCGCCCCACACCCTGAGACAGGGCTTCTGTGTAGCCCTGGCTGTCCTAGAACTAGTTCTGTAGAGCAGGCTGGCCTTGAACTCACAGAGATCCTCCTACTTCCGCCTCCCAAATGCTGGGACTCTACCACTGCCTGGTAGAGTCTACACTCTTATTTACAGGGAAGTATAAAAAAACTGTTATGATTCACAGACCGGCCTTGGTTTAGGCCTTAGCATGACATTTCTCAGGTGACATTTCTCTACTCTTGGTCCCTGTGATGAATGAATGCATTCCTGGGCTAAGGAGACCAAGTAGGACTTGTTTGTGTTTGAAATGACAGGACTTTTTGAGAGATTTGTGGCATTACATGAGACTTTGTAATGAAAAAAATAATCTGGAGGGAGGGTCTAAATGCAGGAGACACTTAGAGGAGTCTGCTGATTTCTGAGGCCCAGTGGGCCGTGTTCTGTATTGTTGCTGAACCTGTCTTCAGTGGGTGATTTAGTCAGTAAAGTAAAATCTTCATGGTTATATGCATAATTTAAAAAGTGTCATAACTCTGTCGAAATGTGAAGAGAAAGCTTGTGGTTGCACACATGTTTTGGAGGGATGAGCCGAGCAGGCTTTCCCGGCGGGAGCACCGTAGATCCCTGTAGTTCCCTGTGGAGCCTGTCCTGAGCCCTGGTTTCTCCTCCACAGGCTGGAAGAGCTGCAGGGCTTCCTCCTGTATAAAAACAAGCTGACCTACCTTCCTCAAGCCATGCTCAACCTCAAAAAGCTCACCTTGCTGGTTGTCAGTGGGGACCATCTGGTGGAGCTCCCGACCGCTCTCTGCGATGCCTCCAAACCTTTAAAGTGAGTACGTGGGAAGGGGAGGGCTCCCAGGACAGCACCCTTGACGCCCCTGATCAGGGGCTCCTCAAACACTGAGACTCTGACCCGACCCCACTTTCTACAGGAATCGGGAGGGGGTTGTTTGTTTTTCACATGCCCTGAGTAGTGCACATCATTGAATTTCTGCAGCTACAAAAACTACTTGGCAACGGACAGCATGAGGTGGGGACCCAGGCTTGGGTGCTCATCTGTCTCTCAGCTGCCACATCCCTGCTGCCCTGGATAGGCCAGATACTGCTGCTCAAGGAATCCTCTCTGCTTGCCTCATCTTTCTGATTTCCCTCAGTGAACTCCAAAACAGAGACAACCATCCATGGAAAGGCGATATGGGCTCCAGTCTGGGGTGAAGTCTTGTTCACTCCCAAGCAGATAGAAAGATGACGAGGCAAGAGACCGTGCCCTCGGAAACTTTTGTATGCATCTTCATTTATCATTACGAGGAGACCAAAACCAAAATGGTGTGTTGTGAGCAAGATAAAGGAAAAACAGGATTCTGATTGGCTGGCTCAGGTCTTTTAATTTCTATTGGACAGGGTCTTATGTGCCTCAGCCACTATGAAGTTGAGGCTGACCTTGAACTTCTTATTCTCCTGCTTCCACCTCCTGAGAATTGGGATTGCAGGCGTGCACAGGTTATGTGCTGCTAGGGATGAAAACCGGGCTTTGTGCAGCTAAGGAGGCACTGTGCCAACTGAGCTCCACCCCCGGGTTATTGATTAAAGAAAAATAATGATAGGCTGCGTGTGGCTCAGTGCTGGAATGGAAAAAGGAAAGAATGAACAAATAGGCCAATTAAAGAAACCACTGCTTCAGAAAAAAGTCTTCACACTCTTTAAATGTTGATAAAAAAGAAATCAAAGTGATTATATATGTATATATGTGTGTATTTTTACATGTAATTATATTATATATATACATATAATATATGTATCTATTTTTCTTCCTTCCTTCCTTCCTTCCTTCCTTCCTTTCTTCCTTCCTTCCTTCCTTCTCCCTCCCTCCCTCCCTCCCTCCCTCCCTTCCTTCCTTTCTTCCTTCCTTCCTTCCTTCTTTCCTTTCTTTTTTTTTGAGACAGGGCCTCTCTCCATAGCCCTGGCTGTCCTAGAACTCACCATGTAGACCAGGCTGGCCTCAAACTCTCAGAGATCTACCTGCTTCTGCCTCCTATATTCTTTTTTTAAATGTATTTATTTTATTTTATGTGTATTAGTGTTTTGCTTGCCTGCATGCATGCATGTATACTACATGCATGCCTGACACCCTCATTGATCAGAAGAAGGCTTGGATCCCCTGTAACTGGAGTTACAGATGGTTGTGAGCCAGCATGTAGGTGCTGGGAATCGAACCCTGGTCCTCTGGAAGAACAGTCAGTGCTTTTGACTGCTGAGACATCTCTCCAACACACTGAAGAGGAGTTTTGCAATTGAACATTCACAGTAAACATGTGCTGCTTCCCATACTTTCCCCAACAGATTTGTAAGCCTTATGGACAATCCTATTGATAAGACCCAATGTCAAGACAGCGATGAAATAATAGAAAGTGAACAGGACCGTCAGCATTTTGACAAAGAGTTTATGAAAGCATACATTGAAGATCTTAAAGAAAGAGGTGAGTTGGGAATATTTAAAACCATCTAAAATGTATTATATAAACTCCACCTGTTCATGAAATACATACATCAACGTAAGTCAAATTGACAAAAAACATTATTTGTGACTATTTGTGAAGCAATAATGCATTTTCTTGGAACATGAGTTTTTTTCCTCTCATTTTTCTTAGTTCTTTGGGAATTTCATAGAATGTGTTTTGTTCATATTCACACACACACACACACACACACACACACACACACACACACCGCTTCACTCCTGGTCCACTCAGCTTCCCTACCCAGTTTAGTTTTTCTCTGTCAGAAAACCACTCAGTCATAGCTGTTGCCCATATACTCCGGGCTGTGTGGCCGCCTCAGCAGGAGCTGCACCCTTAGCAGAACCGACCCCCCTTTCCCAGCAGCTCCCAGTTTCCCCTTAGCCAGGCGTGGGCCTGCGTGCCCGCCTCCTGTGTCCATGCTGGGATTTTGTCTGCCTTGATCTTGCACAGGTCTCCTGCATGAAACATGGGGTTTCCCTAGACTATTTCATGCTTGCTACATGTATCAACTGTATGACAGAGCACAGAGGCTGAGAAACACACAATTAAACCATGAAGGCTGTATTACTATGTAACCTTTAAATTACAAAAAAATACTACTTTGTGTGTGTGTGTGTGTGTGTGTGTGTGTGTGTGTGTGTGTGTGTACTTGATGTGGGGCAGGGCTTGTGTGCTTAGGTGTGCATGTGGAGGTCAGGGGACAGCCTTATGGAGTCTATTCTCTCCTGCCTCTGTGTGTTTCAGGAATCAGACTCAGACCACCTCAGCTGCATAGTGGAATACTTTTATCCACTGAGCCATCCTGCCTCCTAGTAAATGATCTTTAAATTAATTATGTTGACAAAATAATATTCTAAGTTAATATGATAATAAGATTCCATTTCAAAAATTGATTTAAAAATTTGAAAACGGGGACTGGAGAGATGGCTCAGAGATTAAGAGCACTGGCTACCCTTTCAGAGGTCCTGAGTTCAATTCCCAGCAACCACATGGTGGCTCATAGCCATCTGTAGTGAGATCTGGTGCCCTCTTCTGGTGTGCAGGTGTACATGTAGGCAGACCACTGTATATATAATAAATAAATTTAAAAAAAAAATTTTTTTGAAAACGTCAACTCATCCAAACCAAATACCTGTATAAATGTCACAAATAAAGGAGAACACAGTTGGCCAACCAGGGGTTGGTTCACTTAGGTTTGTTTTCCCACAGAATGTTGGTATCCTGAGGAATGTAGGAGGTTGGATAATTCAGGAAAGGCTGGGAAGGGTTTTGTTTCTTGGGTTCAAACTCAAGGTCTTGTGTGATAGACAAGTTCTCTACCACTGTGCTCTACCCACAGCCCCCAACTTGACTACTTCTTATGGTTGGCATAGGCCATCTGTAGATGCAGCTTGGCTGTAAAGGGACAGACTGGACCCTAAACACTTGGAGGAGCAAGGCTAAGCTTATTTAGCAAGAGCATGCTTGGTTTAGAAATATCCCTGATCGGGCTGGAGGGATGGCTCAGTGGTTAAGAGCCCTGGCTGCTCTTCCAGAGGACCCAGGTTCAATTCCAGCACCTATGTGGCAGCTCACAACTGTCTGTAACTTCAGTTCCAGGGAATCTGACACCTTTACACCAATGCACATAAAATAAATTTAAATAAATTATTTGAAAAAAGAAAGAAAGAAAGCAATAGCCCCGGTCTCTTATAAACCATATTGTTGCCCACCTGCTGTCTTCAGCCCCGTGTCCTTTACCATCTCATCAGCTTTATTATTATATGGTCATACAGTTCCCAGAGCTTAGAGGGAGCTGTGTGAGATGGTTGGAAAGATTGCAAAAGAAAGAGTGTTAGCATCTTAGATCTAAATGCTTCTAAACTTGGCTACCCACTGGTGATGCCTCATACACTCCCTCTATACTTAAAATATGAAGCATCAATACTTTGTGTACTGATGCAAGCCACTACATTATGGTTATATTTCATAATAAGACTGAATTAATAAGGGGCTGGAGATACGGGTCAGGGGTTAAGAGCACTGGCTGCTCTTCTAGAGGACCCTGGTTTATTTCCCAGCACCAAATGGCAGCTCACAACTGACTTTTCTGTAACTCCAGTCCCAGGGACTCAGACACTCCCTTCTGACCTCCAGGAACACAGGGTATGTACGTGGTGCACATACATACATACATGCTGACAAACACACACAAACACATAAAATAAACTGAATAATTAAAAAGAGTGAATAGCTAAGTATATATTTTTTCTTTATTGCAGAAGCTGTTCCCAGTTACACCACTAAAGTGTCGTTTAGTCTTCAACTTTGAGTTGACCCACCAGAAGACCACAAAATCTTGCTGCCCTGTGCTCTACATCTTTGTATATGTGTTACATCTTATAGGAATTGTGGCTTGTGCTTAAGAACAAAGTCTAGAAACTACATCACTGTTAAGAAAATAATTTTCAAATTTCAAATATGGGAAGACTGATGAATCTGCTTATGTAATAATAATAGACTAATTTGCATATACTTGTTCTAAGTAATGCACATTTAATATTTTAGGAAATACATTCTTTAAAAAATGTAGCATATAGAACAAGTTTTGAAATTGGATGCGTTATTTTCAGGACTCAAGGGCTAGAGGGTTGTAAATGAAAGAGAATTTACCACCTTGAAAATGTTTTAGTATACTATTTATTTTTAATGAGAATAATGCTCCTTGAGTTTAAACAAGTTACTATTTCCACATTTTAAATTTATTTTGGCAAGTACATTTAAAATTGTATTTTAACTCTCAGGAGAGACTGAAGGTATAATTTGGGTCTTGAGGGTGGAAGGAAGGGCTGGTAGTGGAGTACATTGGGCACTGGATGCTCAAATGATGTGGGCCTAGGGAGGTCTGAACGATGTGCTAGGGAGCCATCCTGCCCTGACTGGTTACCTGGTAGAGCTGGGACATCACAACAAAAACCAGAGGCAATGCCCTCAACGCTCATTCCTGTAGGTGGCCTGGTGAGTGAGGAGTCCCCACTGATGACCCCTAGAAGGGCTTCTATGTGGGAACCATAGGAGGGCTCTGCCCACTGGAGTGCAGCTGGGGACGAGCAGGAGCCCCTGGGATGTGAATTTGCATTGGTAAAGGCAGGGCTCGCTTTTGGGCTCTGCTCTTGTATCCCATTACACCACTGGAAGAACTGTATAAAGCTTCTATTTTTATACCAGTGTCTTAGATTAAAACAGACAGGAGGTGGCTGGTTGTCTTGAAGACAGGAGGAAAATGCACAGGTATCCCTTGTGTGTGTGTGGACTCCTCCCTGGGGTAGTCCAGGGCACCCGCTGCAGCCTTTGCAGCGGGGAAGCATTCTCTATCTGTGTTATTAGACGCCATGCCGTCCAGACACGGAACACTTGGTGTCTGATGACCCTGGAAAACTAAATTTTAAATGCAGTGTACTTCAATAGCCGCTGTGGCTGCCATGCTGTACGGCAAGGCCTAACCTGTTGGCTTGGGGTGGGAAGAGGTTATCTGTGATTTAAAAAAGGGGGGGGGGTGATTTTTACTTTTTCTTACCTGAAGAACTGATTTGCTCTCAGAATCATCTAACTTAAAAAGCTCACCACATTCACAATTAATTAAAACAAAACAAAGGTGAATTAAAAACCTAAAACAAAGGGTTAGTAGGGCTGGGAGATGGCTCAGCAGTTGAAGTTGTTGCTACCCAGATCTAAGGACCAGAGGAAGGATGCTGAGAAACCCATGGAAATGTCAAGTGAGCATGGTGGCCCACCTGTAATTCCAGTCCTGGGAAATGGAAACAGGCTGTGTTCCAGCAAACTGGCTAGGTAGCCAAGCCCACCGGAAGCTTTTGTTTCAAATAGGAGACCCTGGCTCAGTAAATAAAGTGAAAGATGATAGATGATTCAAACTCAGGCCTCTCCACGTGCACGTGTATGCACACACACAACACACACACACACACACACACACACACACACACACACACACACGTGTGCCCTACACACATGCAAAACTATGTAACACCCACATCCACTCACAGGAAACGGAAAGAAGACAGGGTAAAATCAGCACCTTGGTATTTTGCCTGTGTCAGCAGTTTGAATTAAGTCCAAACATTTTTATCCTTCATAGATATAAAACAGCTAGCATCCTCCAGGCACGTGGAGATGTCTCAGTAGAGGGTTCCTTCAACAAAAAGCAAACAGTTCGAGGTGGGCTAAGAGGGGCAGAGTCGGAAGATGAGGACGACTTTAAATTTCACGCCTTTCTTCTCAACACTTAAAAATGTTTCGAGTTGATGAGTTGTCCTACTTGAATGACTTCAGAATTTTATTTCATACTCAAATACGTGTTTTATATCAAGATATGAAAATTGTATGTGAAAAGACGGAAGTGTAGAATTTTACACAAATAGACTGTTCATAATTTATGTAAGTTTTATTTAAATAAAACCAGCCTTTTGTGTAAAAACCTTGTCCTGTGGGTGCGGGTTTGTGCGGAGCCCAGAGGTTGACACAGGGTACCTTCCTCACTTTATCACCGTGTCGTTTGTTATTATTGTTACTACTGAGGCAGTGTGTCTCACTGCGCCTGTAGATTGGTCTTTTGACTACACTGGCTGGCCAGTAACTCCCTCCCTGAAGTTGTCTGTCTCAGCGCTGGAGGGACTACAGGACTCCACACCCTGCTTTTGCCTGGTGCTGGAGAGCTGAACTCAGGTCCTTGCACTTTCTGAGACATCTCCCTAACTCCCTAATTGGACTTGCAAAGGCATCTCTCTCCCCAGTATCTTTTCCCCATCACAGAGTAGCCACGCACCTCCATGGCGACCACTGTTTGAGAAGCCAGGCGTTCAGGTTACTGCTTCCATCTCACACCAGACCGACAGTGGAGGGCCCGAGCAAAACTTGCTGAGGAGATCACAGGTTCAAGACTTCCAAATGGTTCTGAGTCCTCAACACTTCAGACTCTGTCCCTTCCTGATAGGTCAAAACTGTGTATTCTTTTAAATGTATTCATGTGAGAGTTGCAAGAAAATTAACTGCTGAGCATCGTGGTTCATATCTGAGATTCAAGCAGTTGAGAGGCTGAGGCAGGAGGATTGATGTGAACGTGAGACTAGTTATACAATCAATCCACATGAGTCTATTAAATGGGTAACAGAATTTATTAAGATACAAATTGAGGAAATACACTTACACATACAGAACGGAGTAGACAGCTAAAGTTGTCTGCTCTGCCCTGGAGCGAATCCACCTCACAGGCAGGAGCAGGGAGAAGGGGCATGTGACCCTTTTCACCGACTCCTTGGGGCCCTACAGCCCAAGGTCACGGGCGGCGCAAATACCACTAGATTAGCCTAAATTACTTAGTGAGTTTCAAGCCAACTTTGGCTACACGATGAGATCTCAAACCCACCCTAACTCACCCCATGGGGAAAAAGGCAAAGAAAAGAGCATTAGCCACCTTCAGAGGGACAAATTCAGTGGCTTTTTGTGCGCGGACGGAGTTGGGAGACTGTTGCCATCTCCTCAAATCCCAAACATTTTCATCACCCTCTTCCTCACAAGACCCACACTGGTTAAAGGGTGGCTTTATACTTTTCCCTTCCTCCAGTCCTGGTAGCCACCTCTGGACTCCACTACTAATTTCATTGACATTTCATATAAAGGGGTTACACAATGTGTGACTTTGGGGGGACGTTGTGATTTTTCCCCCATTTTCAGCATTCAAGACTCATATACCATATTTTATGTAAAGTGTCACAATAACAGCAACAATGAATAGGAAGACCAAAGACTGACACGGTTTACGTGACAGGCAATTACAAAAGCCCCGGCAGCAGGCCCTGCCGCAATCACAGAAGTCCTCGCAGCAGGCCTCGCAGCAAGCTTCACGGCAAGATTCCCGTGGTGGGTGGATATGGCTGCTTCTCTCTACCTGGCAGGCGGTGTTTGCTGGCGGTCTCCAAGAATCCGGCACAACATAGGAGTGAGGGGGTGGGACAAACGAGGAAGTGGGTGGGACAAATAAGGAGGAAGTGGGTGGGGCAAACGAGCGAGTGGGTGGGACAAATAAGGAGGAAGTGGGTAGGACAAATAAGGAGGAAGTGGGTGGGACAACTGAGGAGGAAGTGGGTGGGACAACTGAGGAGAAAGTGGGTGGGACAACTGAGGAGGAAGTGGGTGGGACAACTGAGGAGGAAGTGGGTGGGACAACTGAGGAGGAAGTGGGTGGGACAACTGAGGAGGGTGGGGGCAATGCCTTTGGGGTCTTGGACCTGGTCTTCTTTCCTGCATCTGCTGCTGTGCTGCTCTTGACGGGAGAAGGCATTTGAGTGACACATGTAGGGGTAGGTGAGCTTACCCGTGACAACTGTTGGATTGTCAATATTGAAGTCGATGGGTGTGAGGTGTGGCTAACCTTGAGGGCAGCTTTGGGAGGGTTACTGGCTTTGGGGTCCACTTTTGACGCTTGGGGCTTTTCCACTTTGGAGGAGGTCTGGGAGCGGGGATCGTCGCTGCAAATGGTCGTGACCTGAGGCTCCCTAGTTGTTTTAGAGGGGGTGGGAGATAGTGGGCGCGCTGGTGGTTTTGAGGCGAGGCCTGAGCCACTCTGAGCACAAAAGCCCTGCAGACATGCCTCACAGTTGCTGCTGTCATGTGGCCCTTGGAGACTGGTGTCTCCATGCAAAGGAATCTCATCCATTTGCTTAAACCCTTCCCCATAGCACTTCTTCAGAATTCTGAAGAGCAGGTTGTTCAGGATCCTTGAGATGTTGTCCCAAGTGAACTCTGGAGCTGCGAACGGAGGCTCAGGGCACTTGTTACATCGCTGAGCGAAGACCCTCATCTTCACCTGGCCCTGGCCCTTCTTCTCACACCAGTGCATGTGGAAGATTGTCAGGACGCAGCCAGAGGCCCAACTGCGAGAACAGCAGGAACAGTGGAACCTGTGGAGAAGAGGCCAGAGTTTCGGCTGAGCTGTGGGCAGCTGCCAGAGGGCGAAAGGAGTTTCTCACAGCAGTGAGAAAAGTGAACCAGCCCCTCCTTCTCATCTCCACCGTGTCACCAACATGCCCTGTGACCACAATCAGATGCTTACTGTGCAAACAGCACGTCACAGGCCATCTGACTCAGAAGAGGCCTAGGACATTTTCTAAGTCCGGTGTGTACATCTCAGAGGTAAGGCACACAGTGCCTTCATCACACCCCAGGACTTGGGGCTCAAGAGGCAGGACGGGAGCTCTGGTATCAGCCCTAAGCCATTGTTTCTTCAAACACTGGTGTAAACGTATTCAAGGCTAAACATGCAACAGCCCCCCCCTCCCCAAGGACCCTGTGCTGAAATCAACAAGTGGATATAAGTGGGTGCTGGGTAAGTTGCCACCACAGACCAGGAGAGAGCTGCAATCCCCTGCCTCAGAGACATCTTGCCTGCTTTTGTTACTCAGGCCCCATGATTTGTAGAATCCCCAGAGATGATGGCCTCCAGCTCTCTCTTCTTTTGTGGTCCCCTCCTCCAGCTTATTCTTTTCCTTACATACACCAGAGAATTTTACATTATTTCTGAGTGCTTGCCTCCAATAGGGTGCAGAATGACACCCTGTCTCAGCAGAGAGAGCAGTTTCTCGAAGATATTTGCACAAGTATCTCTTAGGAACAGTGAAGAAAAAAATGGAGGAAGCCTGTGCTTCCTAGAACAGGAATTGTGCAAAGCCAGAAGATCGCAGTGTGGCAGAGACATTTATTGCTCATCAAATAACCCAGGAACTTGCTCTTGATTCAGTCAGGTTGGAGCCATAGCGGTTGAGCCTAACTTTGCTTGAGAAGGGCATCTGCAGTCTGAGGTGGGGAGTTGGAGGGGCCTGGGCAGAGTGAGGTCTAGGTGCAGAAACTCGGACTTTGTGCATGTTAAGTAAACGCGCCACTGAGCTACCGCCCCAGGGCCCTCTTTTCTATGCTTTGATCTTAGCCTGCCCTCTTAGGGCAAATGTGGAAATGAACCGAGGGGAGGAGAGGCTGAGAAGCCAGCTCTGAGTCCCACAGAATGCACTGGCTGGAAAATCTCCCTCAGTTTTGCACTGAGCTGTCCTGAACTGTTCTGAGCTGCACTGAGCAGTCCTGAACTGTTCTGAACTGTCCTGAGCTGCACCGAACGGTCCTGAGCGGTCCTGAGCTGCCACCCACGGATGTGGCCTGGTCTCATCACTCTAGCTCCACTGTGTGCCAAGCCAGAGTTCCAGCTTCTCAAATAAACAAACTAAGGTTTTTCTTTCTCTGGAGCTTCCCAAGTTAGCTACTGCCTGGGAAAGGTCCAGTCCCCTCACAGAGGTCAGCCGGCATGATGAATCCCAGGGCTCTACCCTCTGTGCCATCCTATCTCACTCCTAGGCCTTGGGGCACCCACTTTCCCTGGAAAAGAGAGGGTGAAATGCTGGGTGGCTTCTGAACGTCCTATTTAAAAAAGAATCTATCGGCTCATAGTAGAGAGGGACACGATCGCTGTGAGTTGCTTTGGGCCACGCACCTGCGGGCTGTCCCAAGGAGTCTCCTCACGGTAACCCTGTCTCTCCCCAGGGGCTCCAGGAAGAGGGAGTCTTTCAAGGCAGGGAGCAAATGCAGTAAATGAGCTCTCCCTCCCCCACCTCCCCTTCCTCGTTGTCCCACTTCCCAGCCTGAATTCTTAGTGTCTAGGCCTGGCGCTGTTTTCAGTTCATGGTGATGGGGCGAGGGTCCCCAGTCTCTACTGAAGCTGGAATTCCTTCCTGTATTCCTCAGTGTGCAAGCCTGGACAGAGGAGAAAAGTGAGAAACAAGCAAGGACCTCTGGCATGAGACCACTGTACCCCTCTCACCTGGCAAAGGTCTTTTGCTGGTACTGCATCCATCCTGGCTTCAGAACATCAGGAAGAAGGCCATTGTCTTGTGTGAGGGTCCATTTGTGCCATGGTTTCACTTCTTGAATCAGCTCCTGGAAAACTTGTTGCCATAACTCTATGTCTTCCATCATGGCTGCAGTGCTGTGCCTAGGCTGGTGTAGGGCTTCCTGAGTGAGAGCAGGGTCTCCTGAGTGAGAGCAGGGTCTCCTGAGTGAGAGCAGGGTCTCCTGAGTGAGGGCAGGGCCTCCTGAGTGAGAGCAGGGTCTCCTGAGTGAGGGCAGGGCTTCCTGAGTGAGAGCAGGGTCTCCTGGGCTAGGTAAGGTCTCTTGGGCCTGGGCAGAGTTTCCTGGGGAGGGGCAGGGTCTCCTGGGCCTGGGTAGGGTCTCCTGGGCTGGGGTAGGGTCTCCTGGGTGTCCTAGGGTCTTCTGGGTGGAGGCAGAGTTTCCTGGGCCCAGACAGACCTGTGGCAGGAGGTAAGGTTGTCCACTTCAGAGAGTGAGGGCTCAGGCTGGCAATTCCGAAGGCTTGAATTGGGACTGTAGTTCAGCTCCCTCTGTCCCAGGGACAAAGGTCAGTTGAATCTGTTCCCAAGTTCAGAGGACAGCCGTTGACACCACAAGAAATCACACAACTCTTTGATTTCCATGTCTCAATATACTAGCTGGAGTCCAAATCAGGAAGGAGCTGCCTCTGGCACAGAACCCCTGGAACGGTGGAAACCACACTTGCCTTTGCCCGTTCTAACGAATGAAAATCTTCATCCACTGGGCTGCTGGACTCCTGCTTGGGGCAAAATGGGCTCCCTGGGGTTCCCACAGCCTGTGAAGTCCTTATTCATACCTAGTTCCCCAGGAGGATGGTGATCCGCAGACACCCAGCTGTCCCTGTCTACCAAGCATAGCCTGAGCAGAGGTCTCAGGCCCGATTCTCCAGTTACCAGAAATCAAAGGTGGTACAGTGTGTGTGTGCCCAGGAGGTTAGGTGATGTGTCCCTAGGTGGGTGGGAGGCAGCTGGCCCAAGACCAAGAGGGATCCATTGCCTTCCTCCATGAGAAGCTTCACTATCGCCCCCGACTGAGGAAGGGAAGGAGAGCCGGGCAGAGGCCGGCAGCGTTGGAGCAGACAGCACTGGAGGGCAGGCAGGCAGACACTGAGTGTCTACACCAGAAGGCTCCATCCACAGATAGGTGGGTCTTCCTACCACCCAGTGGGACATTGACCTATCACCCTGGCTGTTTCCAAGCCTGGAAGCTCCTCAGCCTGGAAGAAAGGAAGGAAGCAAGGGGAGGGGCTTCCTGTGACGTTTGGAAACCAAGCTGGGGTGGGGGTAGGGGTGGGGGTTCCCGCTCCACTGTCTCGGCCCGAGATCACAACAACTTCCCGTCCAGATGCTGATGCAGGTCACAGAGGGCCCGTTCCTTCCCGGCCCCATTTAGTTTCTCAATGTTATTTGCTCAGTTATAAATTAACTACATTTGGAGAGGTGGTTCAGCTTCTTTGTTCTTTTCTTTTTTTGGCTTTTCTCATTTCAACCTCTTTCACTCTGTTGTGTCCACCGACTGTCTGCTTGCTTACTCCAGGTTTCCATAAGCAGAACTTCTCTATTTGGAGTCAGTGGTGCCATGTTTTCCCCACGTTTGGGCTCTTTCATAGGGCTTCACCTCGTAAGGCAGACCCCAGGGCTGGTGCTGATGTGTTCCCGAGAGAGAGAAGGCCTCGGTGTTTCTAATATAGAAAATACAAGCATTAGGAGCTTTGTTCAGGTCCCAGTTACCCAGTGTTGTTGGCAGTGGACTCAATGTTAAGAAGCGAACAGCTGCATACGAAATAGGGCAGCTTTAAACAAAGAGGACACAGGGGCTCGTGTTGATCACGTGACTGAATTGTGATCGCAAGAACCTAATGGCAGTCCCCTTAGGCATATGACTTTGTATTCAGGACGACATTTGGGACCGCCGAGAGCCGTGAGAACACACCATGATCTCTTTCGTCCACCTCGTGGCCGGCCTTCTCTCTCGGGTTCTATAGGAGAGCTGAGTTGGGGGAGCTAAGTCTCGGCCTTCAGAAAGTTACTACTGCCTAGTGCGATTGGCCAGCAACCCTACATCCTGCAGGGTTCCCAGGCCCTCTGTGTCTTCTAGCTCTGTCCCCCAAGATCAAAGTTCAAAGCTCCCCTCTCTCTCATCAGCCTGTGGTTAGGAACTGGTGTGGGTCTTCTCCAAGTGGATTGAATTGTGACAGCCTGAATGAGGCGTCTACTTGTGGATGTGTGTGGAAATCCTGGTGTTTTCAGATGTGATAAAGGACCTGAGAAGACCTGCCTTGGAAGATTTAAAGTTTCTGTGACCACCAGGGTACAACACAGCACCAGAAGCCAGGCAACCGGCCGAGCTGCTTGTCACTCACAACCCGACCAAGAGAAGGATGCTAGGTGAGCCCACACAGGGTGTCCAGGGACAAAGAACAGCTAAGTGTAGCTGTAGGGCACAGCTTAGGTGTGACACTGGCTTGAGGGTCCCAAGGCTTGCATTAGCCTCTCCTGGGAAAACAGTTCACCCCAGCTAGGGCAACAGAAGCAGATCAAAGCAACCCTTTCACCTGAGCCTCGCTGGGTGAGCTGGGGAGTCTGTTGGGATTACTTAGGAACACAGGTGAGGGATTGCTGGGCAGTCACTGCAAAGTCTGAGCCCAGCATGGGTGACAAGTTCCCCTAGCTGTACAGATGGTACTCCTTCGGTTAACTTTGCATCTCCTCTATACTGTGACACCTCCTGAGATCGTGTATAGTTGGGGTGGAATTATGTATGACTGGGAGGGGATCCAGGAGGGAGAGGTTGGAATCTCAGTTGAGGGTCTAAGGACCCTCTCCTAGTATCCCTAGTATGAGGGAATGTCAGTCACAGTTACTCTGATTAATGGCGATGAATGTTACACTCGGAAATCAGGGTTTCTTTTTCTTCCTTCCTTTCTTCCTTTCTTCCTTTCTTCCTTCTTCCTTCCTTCCTTCCTTTTCTTCTTCTTCTTCTTCTTCTTCTTCTTCTTC